TTTCTCACTTTCTTTTTTTTTCTTTTTTTTTCAGGTCTTCGAGTTTTCCAACAGATAACAGATAATCTAACCAAACCAAACCAAACCAACGACTACCATTCGACTACCAATCAACAAGAAATACCATGATCAGAACGAGTTTGGAAGAATGAAGGAGACCGAGTAACTCACGCCACACCATCCAGGGCCGAGTTTCACCGCCATGTCATTCGACCCGACCAGATCTAACGAAGAATCAACAACCAAACCAACAACACCGAATCATCCAATTTGATCCAATCCAACTACCAACTACTACGACTACCAACAACTACCTAGTTTGCGATATCAGCATCCGCTGGAAGCGAACGTTAACTTGTCATCTACCACCACCACCGTGTTCACTACTCACTTGACTGTTAGACACCGCACTGTCCACATCACGTTAGTACTCTAAATTCAACATGCCGCCAAAGGTTTCTGCGTGAAAGTACAGTGCCAACAGGTCAACTACCCTTAAAGGACAGGTATTTCTTTATATCATCTAGCACAATTTCCATCATTGCACACTCATCAAAGAAGATCGATACAGATTCAAATTGACCAGTTTTACAGAGGCTAGCTAGCCATTTTAGATCAGACCGGAAATAGGTTTATAGTACGGTCAAAGTTCAAGACCACTGACCGGCTATAGCCTCTAGGGAACATCACCACCCTATATTAATCCACTGGCCATCTGTGATTATAAATAAACTTACCCATCAAAAAATCGTGTGTTTGTGTTGTGCTTTAACTTTCATTGTTTCACCTGTCCGACCGTCAACAGTCCATCCAGCACCATCTAAATCCTTCAAAATTATTTATTTACTTATTTATTTATTTATTTTCATTTTTTTTATTCCTTTTTGCACCCTTCAAAAAAAAAAAAAAAAAAAAAAATTTTGTACATTATAATACTACTAACATGATTGAAAGAAAGTTCACTATGCAGATCAAACCCGAAGGGGCCCTGCAGTCAAATATAAATTCTCAAGACTTTCTGGATATTATGCAGGCAAGAAAGTCCCCTATGACCATCATTAGGGGATTCCAGAACTTGGGGAGAGCCAAATTTCTTATATCCTTCGAAAATCAGGCAGATCTGGAACAATTCCACACTTGGTTTAAACAAGATTCCAGAGTCTACAACAATATCAAATTTGAAATTGAACACGCCAAAAACATCCCCGCTCTAAACCGTAAGCCTGATATCCGTATCATGGTTTACGGTGCACCATATGAGATGCGGAATGATGTAATTTTAACAAAATTACAAGCATTCTGCACCTCACTTAGAATCAAAAGAAACACATTTTCTCGCCACCCAAATATAGATACTGGAGTGAGATTTGTCTTCACACAAGAGATAAAAAAACCAATCCCCTCCAGTATCTTGATCGATAACCACAAGCTGGGTATCAAATACGAAAACCAGCCCAAGACGATCCAGAAGTGTTTCTTGTGCGGCGGTGAGAGCCACTTGGCAAAAGACTGCCCAAAACCACCACGTGTCCCTGACCCAATGCCTGCTGCCCAAAAACAAAAATCAGCAGTTGGCAAAAAAAATTCGCAAACATATGCGGATAAAGTCAGGGGAAGCAATACAAGTCTCTCTGAAATTGCCATTGAGAGCTCCCAAGAATTTTCCTCCAAACCAGAACCAAAACCTAAGTCCAACCTAACAGAAAGCCTCGGCATCGGAGATAGAACAGAAGCTCTGATGGCCGAAATCCAACAAATTAGAAACGAATACGAGGATCAAATCACCGCCGAACCGGAAAGGGCAACGTCTACTCCCGTCCCCGACATCGATGTTGAGCTCCCCTCAGGTTGGGACGAGCTCAACATCGACGATTACGATAGAAGTAGAGAGGAGATTGATCTTAGAACAGCAGCAGAGAGTCTGCAAAGATCTATAAACCGGGCGTCAGAAACCCTCAGCCAATCCACAGGCACTAATACCACCTTTAAAACCCCGGCAAAAACCTCCACAAAACGACCTATAACAAGCCCTTTTGAAGATAACCTAGAGAAGAAAAACCGAATAGAAGACCCTAGAAAGACTACCCAGAGATCTATCTCACGAGATAGAACTGTGGGTAGTCAAGACTCTAGGGTCAGTAGATACGATGCCGGTAAAGCTCAGAAAGACCGGCAGAGATCATCCTCACACAGTAGAAGTGTCAAGAACTAATTTTTAGGTTAAAATATCAAAATATTGTTTTACTATTTGAAATCTATCTTATATCCCTTTTTAAATTTATATCATGATTATATCCACTTTAAATATTCATCGCGGCTTTGACACGAAAAAACATCAAATTCTAGACTTTTTTAAATTAAACGATTTTGCATGTTTACAGGAAGTTGGAATTATTACTGATCAAAATTCTTCAGATATTTCTACTATCTCAAAATTTAACATAGTTTTCTCCAACGGCCCTAATCTCAGCACGGCAGGTGTCGCCACACTTTATTCAAAAGATTTCAAATTAGTCCGTACCTATACTATTCCAAAATTAACTGGTCGCTTTCTGCACTTAGTTCTTACCGGTAATGACGTCACGTTTCATATCATCAATGTATATGGCGTGAACGAACATAAAGAAAAAGGTGATTTCTATTCTGAGGTCAACACCCACGTCTCTAAACATTTCAACATTAGAGA